GCGTAGACATACTTTGCCCAACAGTCATCGCGAAACTCTGGTTCGCGTGAGTTTTGCAAGAGAAAGGTTGCGCAATTTTACGACTACCACGAGGCTACCAATTTAGCGTGAAAGAAGATTCGATATCGTAAAACAGTTGTCGCGGCGATTAAGTACCGCATAGTAAACCGGAGGTATTACCGCTTCGAGATTGCTTGCACAGAAATAGCTGAGCCAGTATTTAGTAAGTGGAACAGGAAACGCTTCTTCCACTGGCCAGTATCGCGGAAAACAATTCTCTGGGAAAATCAGGCTGTTCTAGCGAATCGTGACACGCGGATTAATTAAAGAGGATCGGTGGAAGATTTCTGTTACGAGTTGGATCGAGCGAATAGTTGCACAACACGCGTCCATTAAGGTCAGGCGCAGATCGATGCATAGAAAATAATTAATATTTACATTTATATCGATAACATACATTCAGAATTTAATTGATTTCAAAGTAGAAAAGAAGTCAGGGATCAATTCCTTAAAATAAAAAATTATGACAATGCTCCGATACGCAAGATGCTGTGTTGCATCGCGTCGTTCAGCGATCAATATGCGCCTAGTTTAAATGCTCCCGTATCGAGACATGCGTGAAACGACGCTTACGCGTCTTCGAATATTACAAATTTTAATCGTCCGCGGTAATTAAACCGTGAATTTAGCGCGGCTCTCGACATGGAAGGCTGCAGTTCCGGCCGTAGTAGAAAAATACCGTATGTAATCAGACGCGCCAGACCTCGTACACCTTTGTACGAGTCGCGCGACGAAAATGGCATTCGACGTTATATTTAATACCCAGATATTCGCAATCCATCGTAAACATCGTAGAAGTTATCATCGATAAATTTTCAGGGTACCTAAAAATTATTTCAGCAGTCGACAGGTTTAAAAAACAAAAGTCTCGATAATTTAAAAGCTTTTTGTTTCAGTCGATGTTCGGAGAAAGCGCTAAGAAAGTAGTCGTTATTGCATGTTTTGTAGGACGAACGCTTTAATACCGGGAAGAAAATATTAAATGATAATAGAAGTAACCAGGTATCCCGATTGAAAACAGCAACACATGAACGCATTAGAAAGCTAACGTTTCTTGCCATCGTACGTTTTATAATAATAGTACGAGGAACTGCCAGTCCATGGCAAAAACTGTACCCAGACTGTACTTCGTTCTATAGTTCGTATAAAGGTCATTTTGACAATTATTTCCGAAAACTGGCTCTCAAACAAATTCGATATTACGAGGCAGGGGGTTGAAATTGAAAAATTCAAGATAATGCCTCGCATGTAGAATGCAATTCTTCAAAGATAAATTGACGCTAGTTTTACAATGGTTGAACTATCGACCGTCGAAGGTACGGTTGACTTTAAAACCGAAATGATCTTGGCGAAACTAGCGGGCGACCGTGTTCGGGGCAGAGGCGTGCGCGCGGTCGGCCAAGGAAAGAGTAAAAAAAGGCGCATCGGCGCGTTTTGTGGCCGACGATAAAAAGGAGCATCCGCGAAGTGGACGAGGCTCGGTGTGGTCTGTTTAGCGCGGCCGGTGGGGATGGTAAGGGGCGTAAGTCAAGGGTGCATTGGTGCGGAGGACGAGCAGCAGCCACGGGAAGAGGGGGAGGGTAGGGGGGGAATGGGTTTTGCGGAGGACATGAAAGGGATGCGCGCCGACGCCATTCTCGTCCATTCCTCTCGCCGCGGTAGGAACAGCGAGGGTGGCAGGGGGTGTACATACAAACGTACATACGACCATGTACCCGTGCGTGCGCGATGGAGACGAGACAGGATATTCTATCTGACGGCTGCGGTGAAGGCAAATGCAACCGGGGGGGGAGGGATCGAACGCGACGTCGAAACCGAGCCAACCGAGGAACACTCTGTCTCAAAATTCGAGAATCGAGAATTGTTGGGGTCGGAGAAAACGAATCTCTTGCGAGTTTACTATTTGTTCGATCTGTGCAACCCTTCGGTGGAAGAATAAGGGATTGGATGCAGACACGAAAGAACAGAGGAACCTTAACGAGATCGTGATTAAAATTCTTCTACCTGTCTATATCCATTCACCTCGTAAAGACAATTGATTCAAGTACCTCTATCCTCTCGGTGTCTACACAAATCAATGCAACTGTAATTGCAATTTGCGATTAACCTACTTGACTAAAATTGCTTGTGCAAGTTAGACATTGAATAGCGCCGTGACAAATTTAATCGTTTACAATATTTAATCCTTTGCGGCCTGTAATTATATTTAAATTGTATTCCGAAAGGGTTAATGGTCAGAGTGCGTCACTGATTCGAATTTAAAAGTAAAGTTGTTGGTTTTGGTCTTATTTTGGCCTGTATAATCGATCTCTGTAAGGATAACCATTAAATGGTAGCTGACCGTCCATTCGATCGCTTCGAAAAGCGCCGACAGACCGCAGCGCACCTGCGGAGACTTCTCTACCTGACCGAACCCGTTGGAGGCAGGCGGAGGTGGAAGAAGCGATTCAGGGACGTGGGCGGACAGCTCGGCGACAACAATAAGCATTGTGATTTGCGCGGGTGTGCCTCGACTCTGATTGGTCGGGTTCCACCACCTCCGCGGCAGCGTCGCAGGGCCGTCGGGGGTTGTGCCGCGACCACCGCCTCCGAGCGGAACAATAGACAATGCGCAGCACTACCATCGCTGCACCTGATCCGACGGGATTCGAGCGCGGCGAATCGGCCGGCGCCGTGCCTCGACGCCGCAGACGCCACCGCCGCGGCGCGCGCCGAAATCATCGAACTGGCTTCGATTAATTTTACAACGGACCGCCGCGCACCTCCGCCTTCAATTATTCGCGCTTACAGCGGCTATTCCGAGCGTTAAAATCGAAACTTTCAGCGATTGTCTCGATGGCTAGGAATATACTGATACCTAATCTTCATCTACCCCCTGGTTACTCCCCATCAGGGTCCATAACCCACAACTATCAACCCCCTTAAGTTTTCCATATCACTCCAAGTGCATAGAGTCTTTTTCGTTGAGTCAATGGATTTAAGAGTAAGACGATCAGGTTCGTGAGTCAGGATGCGTTAGAATTAGGGAGATCTCGGTGGTGTCCCGATGCAGCAGTCTCAGGATGAACGGCACGCGCGACGTCACCGACATTTACGTATTCTCGCGTGCCACGTGACGCGCGTCGTTCCCTCGACTTGCCCCTTTACATCCTCCTGAAAAGGTGGGGGGCCAGAGAGAAAGAGAGAGAGAGAAAGATATCGCTCAACACCGGTAGCGCACGCTGCCCATCCACGGTGCCACTACTACGCCCAACTCGACCGCGGCTCGTGTCCTCGCGAGAAGGGGTCGTCGCGCGGGACGCGGAGGAACGGGTAGGGGGGTGCGTGTAGGTGAACCCGGGGATCCACCCGAGAACGCAGATAACGACCCGAACACGACTGGAACCCAAGACAAGACGAAGATCAAAGATGTATCGATCCTTCGTTAGAAAAGACAGGGACAAATTGTTTCATTTTTCTATTCACGCACACTTTACTGGCTTAAACAAAATAACCCTTCGTTAGTCGCGTGGTACCCTTATACATATTTCTCTTCATAATTTTAGAGCGGTTCAAGTTTGCAACTCGTCGTCTTCGGTGGCTTTTCGTTTTATATCATTTTCCGTAAGCAAACGCATTTAATTCTCTAACATTGTTACAGTGCATACTTGAATCCACGTGTATGTATGTAGTAGAGCGAATCGCGATACAAACTCTCCAGGCTATACTGAGATCATCGATAAATAGAGCTTTAAATACAGACGTTGGACGAGAAAGGATAACGGACGAAAGCGTTGTCGGGCAGACAGAAGTAATACAGATCGCAAAACAAACCTACGTTCCCATAAATATAAGATAACTATCTGCGTGGAGCATGCCATAAATATATGTGAAACATGTGCGCAAGTAGCACAAAACAATGAGGGCAAAAAAACTGGTTCTGTTTGTTAGAAAATTCTGTCCTCGCGTTACTCGTACAGATCGAAGTTGTTTTGTAATTATTTTGGAATACACGATTGATTTAACGTACCTTCGCGAATAAAAGAGCAGGGTAGGAATGGGTGGTGGAATTTGTGACATTTACAGTGTTTGTAAACACAAATTTATATGATCGATTTTCTCGAAAAGCAACCCTCGTATAAAAAAAGTTGCTCCAGATTTTCAATTTATATTTTCGTCCAAGCAATTTGACCATCGTTGTATCAAGGCATTCGTAATTCGAATACTTTTTGAAATCCATTCTGCTCGTCCCTGGACGCGGGTAGAACGGGTCGCGGTGGTGGTGGCCGTGGCAGTGTCGATCAGAGCGCGCGCCTCGGCGTGGGTGTCGTAGGAAGAGGGCGGCGCGTACGCCCGAAAAGGGGCGTGGCGTTCGGGTGGAACCCGTCGCGGTCGCGCGTCGGACCGGAGCGACGAGGACGCGGCACGAATGACCAACGGAACGAGAGAGAGAAGGGACAGGGTAGCCGGAACGAGAGGGAGCGAGCGGTGGAACAGAGTCGGCGTCGCGCGTCGGGTTAGAAGAACCCGTTGGTGGGGGTAGGGAGAGCGCGAGGCACGGTGGTCGGAAGGAGAGGAGGCGAGCCGCGTGACAAAAGCAAAAGGGAGAGGGAACGAGCACGAGCGGAGACCGAGAGAAAAGACGCGAGCGAACAGTAGCGGGGAGTACGAGTGGCGCAGCGCGGGCGCCGAAGCGGCGCGGCGCGGAGTGGCGCGGCGCGCCGCGCCTGCCGCCAGGCAGCGCCTCCGAATCTCATCCCGTTCGGTCCTCGGGGGCTTCAGTCAGTCAGCCGACGCTCCGAGACGCGGTGATTATTCCCATTGTATGCCCTGCTGCTCGAGGGGGGGTTCTTCCTACCACTGACTCTCGTTTTCCTCTCTCGCTCTCGCGGCCGCGTCGATTCTTCCTCGCCGCGGCTTCTACTACGCTCGGGGGCCCCGTACTCCGCCGGCGTCCGTGTCGTCGCGTTCCAGAGCGGCCGATCGCTCCGCACCGTGGTCCGCGATAGTGTCGCGATAGATATCGTGCGATCCACGCGATCGTTCGAACGCACCGGGCGCACGCGGACCGAACGATCCACCGGGGTGAGCGCGCGCGCGCGCCACCGCGAGGCTACATCGATCTTCCTCGGCTTCCTGTGAGTGAGATAGATCAACGGCGAACCCGCGACCGGGATATCGAGATCCGCGGTCACCATGACGTAGTCGTGGGACCCGGTGTTGGGAGTTCGCGGTCGGTCCCGTAATTCCGGGCTTTGGTTCGGGTTTTACGCAAGTGAAATCGTATCCGCGATAGCTGACACACGAGTGCCGGGATACGAGTCGGTTTCAGCGCCGCGGCCAACGCACGACGATCGTTCCTGCCGCCTCGGATTGTTGGTTCTCTCGTTCAAGTGCCGGTTCTGTGCGCGGGGTGCAATTTATTCGTATTGCGGTGACAAGTGCCACGAAGCCGTCAGAGGGTAGTCCAGGCTACCAGCGCGCGAGCAGGATGATATGAGCACGCTTGGCAGGTGAGTGACTAGCACGTGACCGGGTGGAGCAGCGACTCCGTGCTCCCTCGCTGCCTCCATCGATTCCCCATCCACCGACTCGAGTTCCATGGCAATTTCGTTTAGATCCTATCCGTCTCGCGATCTCCAAGAACCTCCGGCTGCTCTTTGCGGCGGAGCATTTTCGGAGCAATCTCTGTCGATCGATCGTCCAGCGGTAGCACAACCGTGGCGTTGTAGCGTAATCTGTGCAGCATACGCGGCCGCGAATGATAACGTCAGTGACGCGCGCGTGGACGCGGTGCGTGGCTTCGTGTGTTCCCGTGGCTGCCAGACAGCCCGTGGTACACGCAGGGCCATGTGTTCCGCGAGGACGCGACAGAGAAGGAGATCGGGTGAGAGTGACGGATCGAGGGAGCGAGAAAGTCGAGACGAAGGAGGGTGGCGGAGAAAGAGAGGGAGCATACGATGCATCTGACCCAGTGACCCTCCCTGCTGCCAGTCCCCTTACACCACCACCACCACACCCCCCTTCCGCCCCCCCATGACTGCTTCCCGCCGTTGCGAGTATCCATTTACTAGGGCCTGTCCTGCGCGACCCTCTCGAAAATCCCGGACAGATTCTTCCTTTCTTCCTTCCTTTCGACCGAACAACCACTTGACGGGCCCAACCTAGCGTCCAGACCATCGGGAGGGAACGATTCCTGGGAAAGAAAGTCGTTTTCGCCACGAACGTGACCCGGGTTTAAGTTCTCCCGCGTGACCAGGGAAGATGCATTGCGCGTAACCCGCTGGAATTCTTTAGAGCTACCGGGGAATGTAGAACCGTTCTGGTACTCGACCATTTAGGGTGGACGAGTGCGAGAGTTTGTATGCACTTCCGGTTGCATGGGGAGCGATGAGAGCAGGTTGCCTCGAGATTTATAATAATTAATAAGTGGTAAACATGTTTCTCGCATTTACGAGATTGAAAACTTCTGTTGACATTCTAATATCGAGCGACCATTCTCTGGAGATAAATTTTGTTCTAATTGTTGACATCTTCGTTAGTGCACCGATACGATTTAGGTTAGGTTGATAACAGAGTACAGCTGTACCTCGCCATTGCGACGTAAATTATATTTATCATCGTTTCTACGTATCATATTCTACTTAATGTTGCAGTTCTTAATTGCACACATTCCCGTTGCTGTGCAGGCTCGTTATTATCGTTATTATTCTTATTATAATGCTCCGGATTTAGAACGCGCGATCCCAAAATACGAAATGTGGAATACGAGAAGATTATTGAAACGTCAGGAAGTGTCAAATAGTCGTTGCCCAATCGATGTACCGATGACTGCTCCAAATTTAGAAGTCGCGTTCTCGATTGTTGGAGTAATAATTGGAAGACGATTATCCAATAACGGAGAAAGATATTGTAGGAGGCAAAAGAGAGCTCGGAGGAACCGTCGCCGAACGTTGACGCTTAGAAGCAGGGCAAAAACGCGTATACAAAATCAGCTGTTAGGGCGCGTGTAAAAGTCGCTCGCCTATTGTCAACGATCGTAGCCGTAAACATGATCGAAAGGCGAGCGACCGCGAAAGATGAGCGCGAGAAAGAGAGAGAGTGTGTGTGAGAGAGAGAGAAAAACGAGGAAAAGGCCAACAGCCGCAAAAATGAGTGTGTATGGGATTTCGTATAGAAACCGAAACGTCACGAAGAATATGACATTACGTGCGAGCGAGTATATAGCGAGAAATTCTGAGTGACATTATTAATCGAAATAAAATTATCTTCACTGATTACTACAAAATATCACTACAATATTTCTTGCTGTTATAAAAAGATTCAGTGTCCATTTTCTAGGCATAAAGTTTCTTTTATTTTTGACATCCTGCATACGATTATTAGCCCTAATTATACTTTTCATATAAAATTTCGATGTTAAAACAAAGATGAAATCACTTAGAACATTGTGAATTATTTCTAATAAGAAAATGACGTTGCCACGGCTGTAGAAAATTTATGGTTTCTATTAAAGTCGCATTTAATATCAGGGCACACGTGTTGGCTATAGTTTTGAGAAGTTTAAGTTATGATTTGAGTATTAGAGATGAATCATGCTCGCGAAGGACGTCAAAAGTTGACGACGTGGCGTGGCGAAAGAAGTGCCATTTTTAACATCGGGATCGTAGAAAAATTCCGGCTCGTATCAATCGTTCGGTGCTTAAACTGCAAATATTCTCATTCGGTGACGAACGAGCACAGCTTTTCCTCGGATCTAATAATTATCACGAATGCTTATCTTCGCGAAGTGGACTCCAATTTGGCACTAACGCGCATCGATACGCTATGACGCTCGAAGCTCCGGAGCACGCGGCTTTAAAATGCCCGCCGTAAGCCTGTTTTCGTTCGACATCAAAGAGCAAAGTCTCTGTTTTGCATAAACAGCTAAACCGGTGAAGGGTTGCCGAAGGGTTCGCGCTAAAGAGTCGCGGCCGGAATAAATCTTTCACCGTGGCCGTAATTAAAATAGACATAATGGCGTTTCTATGGTATCGCGACGCGAAAGCCTAAAACCTATTAATCGTATCACGAATTGGTTAATTACAACAGTATATAGACAACACCGCACCGTTAGTGTTTCTATTAGAAAAATTCCATTTTACAGAATGAGTAAAATTGAGACAATGTCTTTATACTCAATTTTACAATTCCACAAAGTTAATTTCCTTGAATATAATCAAACGAGCAACGCTTCGATCCACGTTTTGCGCAAACTGCCTGCCGCCGGCAACTTTCGCGGGAGTCCCGATCATTTCATAATTCAGCATCTTTTAAATATTGAAATTCATTCGCGACAGCGGACGATGACCAGTCGTTGACAAAGTTACGTATTTCTGACAGCGGCCATCAAAGTGTTAAGTTGCCTTCGAAACTACTAATAATTACTGCTTCCCTCGTGTCTTCAGAATTGTCTAACGCGGATCTGATTCCACGAAATAAGAACGTTTCTGACCGCGATGCATCGCGAAAGCGTGTAACGTTATTTAATTCTGGAATCTCTTGTTTTGCCAACAGTTGCGCTCTAATGTCTCGCGTTGTCAGTCAAGAGGAACTGGCATTCTCTTTCGAGCAATACTTTCGGACTATATACCCCATTCGCTGTCACAATATTTCTCCTTCGGTCGTTCCTACATCTTGTGAATGCGTGTAGCGGACTTAGTCTCGGAATTTGATGTTCCTAACCGTGTGTCTCGGAAGATGCATGATTCTTCAACCCCTAATTAGTTTTGGGCTTCCAGAAACCCCTCCTACTTTGCAAAGAAATTAGATATCCCAATAACAAAATTATTATCTTAGCTGTGATTTGAGAACTCCAAGTGATTCTCTTTCCGTGGTAAAAAATAATTTTCCCCTGCTCCCCAGGGCCCCGAGTGTTTACCAATTACTGATAAAATCGAATCGGAATCCGCGTATAACGATTAACGTCGCATTGTTCGATCAAACGCGACCGATGCACCGGAAAGACAAACGGGTCGCGGATTCCGGGAATCGGGTGCATCTCATCTGTCAAGCAGCAGAGACCACGACGCGGTACAACATTAGAACAGAAATCACGCAACGACGGTGCAAGAAGATTGCGACAGATCGCTCAACACGTTGAATAAGATCCCCTAGATTCGCTAACACGTCTTTGTCATCCTTCCATAGTCTTACCAGCTCCAAACAGTATCGGATGACTCGCCAACTAAACCATAGACCCAGGCGATAGTCCAATCCCCTGGTCTCGTATCCACGTTCGAGTTACAATACCTCAGAGTTCTTATTAAGCTTTCTGGGATACATTGAAACCGGATCGTTTATGGCCCATAAAGATCTCTTCCCTGGTGCATTGATTAGCGTAGCTTGACAGGATAAATAATGCCCCTTGGACTCGGCTCGTAGGCGGTTGTAGTCATCTTCGCGTAGTTCTTGCTTCTTCTAAACAATATCGAATGATATTTAACCAAGCATCGAACTTGGAACTTTGATTAAAATCGTGAACCTTTCGTAGCGTTAGTTCGTTCAAAATGGTGAAATTCAACGTGCGTGTCGCTCGCTCTTGTTAAATTTGTATGAGCCGTGCATTAATATCTGCGAAGACCCCGGTCTATTTCTCCCAAATTAGCGAAATGAATGGGTTCGGTTGCTTGACTCTCGAGAAACGAGAGTATTTGTCACAGATGTAGATAGAACCGTGTCATTTATGGCCCGCAAAGATTTATCTCCTGAGTGTGTTTCGGCTATTACATTGAATAGCGTAAGTACCTCGACAAGTTAACTTTTTATAACATCCATTACCTACAATTTCTGAAATCTAATTTTATCGCATTACCATCGCCTAGGTGTGTCGTTTATTGTGGTTTTAAAGCAACAAAGCACAATGAATGATCCACAATAACCGAGGTTAGGTATAGATGGAAGTTTGGACGTTGATTTCTGTCACAGTTCAATCACCTGGTCGCGTCTCCGCTACTCGACGCTTAGACCATACTATTTCAGGGCTCATATTACAATTATCGAACCGTAGATTGATATTTATAGAAGCTCCGATCTATTTCTCTTGGATTAGCGAAGGAAATGCGTCGTATCTATAAACCCTCGAGGAACGGAAGCTCTTATCGCAAACGTAGACGAAATTAGGTTCGTCGATGACCCACGAAGATTCCCTGAACGTGTTCTAACATTGAATTCTACGAGTTAAATAACCTCTGTCCATTGCGTTGTATCGTTTAAACAGTATCGGATGACATTTGCTGGTCAAAGAGCTAATCGTGCAGACATTTTAGGATTGACCCAAGTACAAATCATCTCGAGGCTTATTAAACTTGTTAAGCTGTACACAAATCGGGCAACAACCGTCCCGAAATAGAACGTCGCGGGACGAGAGTGGGCTGGTCGTGGTGCAAAGGGTGACAGAATTATTGCTCGCGGTGTTAACTCTTTGTCTTGTTCGGTCGACCGTGCAACAATTGCTTCGGCCGACCGCGGAAGG